GGGGTCGCCCCCCCCTCCCGCGGTGCCCCCGCCACGTGCCCGGGCCGCGCTGTCGTCCCGCCGCCCTCGGGCCCCGTGCTCCGTGCAGCGTCCTGCCCTCGCCCTTCGCTGGGGCTGCTCCCGCGCTCGCCCGGCCCTACTCGGCGCCTGGTGGCGCACCACGGCCTCATGGCACTCGCCAGCCCCGAAGCACCGAGCCTGGCGCGTGGCAGCGGTGCCCCGTGCTTTCCCCTGCCTTGCGCCGCCCGGGGTGCGCTGTGCCCTCGCGCCACCCGCCCTTGACACGTGCCCTCGGTCTGCCACGCTGGGCTTGGGGGAGTGCCTCTACTTTCACGCCATGGGTCACAGCGACATCGTGTAGCTTCGTGGCGGTGCTTGCACCGCTGTAGTGGGAAGAGCACTTCAGCAGGGAGAGGGAATTGTTACTGTGAAAACTGAGATATCCTGCCAAATATGGGGCAGATGGTGACACTAAACTGGTGTGACACACAGGTTGGAAAGGGTATCAGCATATTTTGAGTATTTGTGCTTTGTATTGATTTTCTGACAACAGGGACTGTGAAGGACTGCCTGGGGATATGCATGTGTGACAGTGACAGTTTTGGTCTCATGCTTTGTACCATCATTGTCTGGCTGTTGACCTACATTATGATGCTACTGGTACCTTGGATACTTTCTGGTATAGTGGTTGCTGTAATATGCTGGGGCTGGAGGATGCTCCTCTCCCTTTCCCTTGTTTGACATTGCACAATAGGAAAAGTCATCTTTTCATTTTTTTGAAACTTTGCTTTGAAGCCTCAGGGGATGGTTCTTGTATTAGAGTAGATAGATATGGAAAGAGTTTGATTGCAGGATTTCCTTTGGATATCCCTTTCTTAACACCATCAGTGACACTTTTGAACATCATCAGTCTTCCTTGTAGAGTTTGGTGTAGGATGATGTAAGGTGTCCTTTCAGTGACTATCCACTCCATGCCAGGGGCTGAAACAACATTATTGTTATAGTGCCGAGTGGTGATATTTTATCAGTTATATTTAAGATTATACTTTTTAAAATAAATCATTTAAAGTTTTTTTTTTTAATCTCTACTAGGAACGTTTCTTATGTGAAAAGTCACTTTTTAAAAGTAAATTGGTATTATTTTTCTTCTTTGATCCCTTTGGGAGTTTTATGGAGGCTAATTCTATCAGTGTATTTATTGGCAACATAACCAGAACATTGTGGGACATGAGCTCTTTGGGATATCTGTGCTGGCTGTGGTGATCTTTGTGCCTGTTTTTCAGATTTCACTGAGATGATGAGGGCTTTGGGGTACCCCCGGCTTATCTCCATGGAGAATTTCCGCACTCCAAACTTCATGCTAATTTCAGAAATGCTTCTTTGGCTGGTGAAAAGGTTGGTGCTTTGTTCCAATGCAACAGTGCATACCAATTCAGACATAGAAACGTGACATAAATGAGACTTTCGGAGCTGATTCTTTGATATGGAACTGTATTAAGGGTTTTAAAGAGGGACTTGATGAAATTAGAAGTTTAGTCATTTTGAGAGAGATGTTGTTCTGAGTAGGTAGGAACATATGGTTACTAAGTTTGCATTTTAAGTACCAAGTTTGTGCCTTCAGTGATCTGTATGTGTCATGAATACAATAATATAACTTTTCTAGAGGGGGAAATAATGTGGGTAAAGGATATTTTAGGTAGGGATGATTTCCTCGAGCAGTTTAGGTTAGGTGACTTCTTGAGGTCCCTTCCAGCCTTCTGTTTTTTTTCATTCTGTGCCTCCTAAGTCATCTGCTTTCTGCCTAGTTGAAGGTTTTTTTTCCTAGATCAGGGGTCAGCAATCTGCAGCCTGTGAGCCAAATCTTGCTCATAACGCCACTGGATTTGGCTTGCAGAACTGGGTGGCGGGGAGGGTGTCTTTGGCAGTGGTTGTGACGGGAGGCCTTGCCAATGCCACAGCTAAGTGATGGGGAGCTTTGCCTGTGACATATCTGGGCAGCAGTGAAAAGCAGCAGCAGGGAGGAGCGGTGGCTGGGACCTAGTGCTGACCTGTCTTGGACCCAAGCTGGGTCATCCCAGCTTGCTGCTAAACAAAGATTGCTGGTCTGTGCCAGAGATGAATTTTCTTGGGCTTGTGTATTTTAAAGATAGACCCCTAAAATTTGAGTCAGTTAGTTGAACTAAAAACAAGTTGCAGGTTGGTGGTGTTTTCCAAAAAGAAGATTCATGGTTTTTAATCTAGCTTTTATGTATTTTACATACCGTATTCACTCAAATCCAAGGCAACTTTGAATTTAAGATGACCCTCTGAATAATTAGATTCCATACACTCCCAGCCACTGACCCTCTACTCCCCTCTGTAGCCTGCCCACCCACTCCTTCCCCACCAGCCCTTTACCTTCTGTTTCAGCTCTGTTTCTCTGGGGCCTTCAGTAGTAATGCAGCACTGGCCTGGCCTCAGCCTGGCCAGGGAGAAGTGACAGGGGCAGGTTGGGGCTGGAGGGACTGGAACAGAAGGTAAGAGGGAAGAGACAGCTCAAGGGAGGAGAGCGGAGGGTAGTGGGGGGTAGGCACAGGCACGGAGGGTGGTGGGTGGGAGCAGGCTGCAGGTTCTCTTCCACTTTGCAGTCTTCCTCATGTTCCCTTGGCTGTGAGCCCCTCCCCCTGCCAAACAAACCACTCTGGCCTGAGGAAGGTGGTGGGTCAGCAGTGTGCGCTCTGGGCCAGTACTCAAATCTAAGATGAGCCCCTCTGCCCTCCACCCCATGGATCTTGGACTCAGGTAAATGTGGTATATTGAAAACAAAATATTTGTGACAGAAGAGGATGTTATACCAGGGGTTGGCAACCCCCAGCCATTTTGCTCGGCATGCCACAGCTGGCTCTGGCTCTTCTGAAACTAGCATGAAGTTTGGAGCCTGGGCTGCTCACAGCAGGAGGTGGGGAGGTTGCAAGCCCTGCTGTGAGCAGCCCTGGCTCTGTGACAGGTAGCAGGGGCCTAGCCAGAGCCTGGACTGTTTGCAGCAGGCAGCTGCAAGCAGCTGCACTGGAGTCCCGAGACCGGGTCTGGCTCGTTGCCAGTGGTGGCTGCACGCGTGCCTCAGGGAGCACGGCGGGGAAGGGGCCAGAGCTGCGGTGCTGCAACAAAGATCAAACCCCTTGTGACTCCCCCCGTACCCACCCCAGGACGCCAACATGTTCCAAGTTGAGGTGGTGGGGTTTTTTTAGCACTCAGCCTGAAAGCATTTCTTACCCCTGTGTTACACCAATACCGTATTCATTTAAAAATCTGGTACCAGTGCCTGCTTAAAATTATGCTCCTGATTTGCCCTTAAATTACTCCTCATTTATAATCCATAAATCTGCACTGAGTTCTAACATCTGTGAACCTGGTTTGGTAGATGAAGCCACCCATTCAGATACACACACCTTGTCCCTTTATACATATGTATGAAAAGGGAACATTTGTTCTTATTCTATTACAACAGGTAGAAATTTAGCTGTGACCATTGTTGCTCTTTGTTTTTGTATTTTTATTTTCTCACCTTCAGTCATAGTTCATTTTAAGTATGTTTCACTTGCAGTAATATTTGGGTTGTGGGTATTGTAGGGGTATATATAAACCATTTAAAAAAACCCGTTTTCATTAAATTTTGAAAAAAAAATTACATTTTTAAAAATTAAGATCAGGTCTTAAAGAATGTAATACTGTCTTTCTTTTTT